AATTTAAGGTGGTTCTGACAAGTGTCGTCGGCATCTTCGTATCCGGTCACATGGGTGGCAAGCCACTCCCATCCGGTCACATGGGCAGCCAGCCACTCCCACAAAGGAGGCCACACCCACAGAGTAAGTTCAAACAATTTTTGAAACCCACCACTGCTTCCAACTCTACTGTTGTATTATAAAGGAAACCAGAGTGGCAATCATGATCTGAAACCTGATGAAGAGCTTCCAAGGGCTTTTTAAGGTCAAATTAATCTCCTTTGGGTTGAGGTCAGCTCCTGGTGGCATCAAGGACATGACTATGTGATTTTCTTGACCGCCCAACAAAAATGGTTGACCACTGCTGTCTTCGTCCAGGCTGCTAGTTCAGTTTTTCAGGCTAGCTTGCAATCCTTGATTTCCCCAAAGACCTGTTATTCAAGTACAAATTGGGCTGTCTTTGGAGATTCTGTCACCCACGTCATGGGTGTCCCAAAGGTGCTTTTTCAAAAGCTGGACTTCCTTTCTTTTTTCTTTGAAGACCTTTTGTTTCTCCTCCAAGAAGCTTCTTCACTTCTGACGGAAGAACTGAAGAAGCTTCTTGGATGAGAAACGAAATGTCTTTAAGGGAAAACCAAGACACCGCCCAGTCGCCTTTTGAAAAAGCACCTTTGGGACAAATTGGGCTCCAAATTGGCTAATTTTTCTGGCTCCAGGCTAAAAAAAAAAAGGTTTTTCTTAAAAGCATTTGCTTTTCTTTCCTTTTAGGGTGATTCTGGTGGCCCTCTGGTATGCCAGAACGGCCCAACTTGGTATCTGGTTGGGATCGTCTCCTGGGGAAACTCCAGCTGCAACGTCACTATTCCTGCTGTCTATGCCCGAGTCTCCAAATTCCGCAACTGGATTGACCAAGTAGTAGCCACTCACTGATGACACACCTGGGAGACACAAGACAAACGCTCTCACTGGGACTCCCCCCAATGTAGAAAATATATCAACGTACATTCTTGCAACTGAAATCTGGGGAAAAAACACATCAGTTTTCATTTCAAAGAAAAAAAATATTCAAAAATTTTTGATTAGAAGATACCTCAATATTAAAAGTCATAAAAGCCGGCAACAGTTCCAGCCTTACCTCTTTCAAAGTTTATGGGGAAAAAATACTGAATATAGGAACGAATATTATCTACAATCACTTTCAAACAACTGTTTTTATCCTCATCCACTAACTTGAGTTCAGGGCCTCACCTGAAAAAGCCTGCCATTCATTAGAGCATGTATTTTAACCATTGTTGTTGCTGCTAGTTGCAAAGTTGTGTACGACCCATTGCGACCCCATGGATGTTCCTCCAGATCTTCAGTGACTCCATCCAGCCACCTCATTCTCTTTCGTCCCCGTCTTGTTTTGCCCTCAATCTTTCCCAGCATGAAGCTCTTCTCCAGTGAGTCCTTCCTTCTCATTAGGTGGCCAAAGTACTTGAGTTTCATCTTCAGGATCTGGCCTTCTAAAGAGCAATCAGGGTTGATCTCCTCTAGGACTGACCGGTTTGATCACTTTGCAGGCCAAGGGACTCGCAGGAGTCTTCTCCAGCATCATAATTCAAAGGCCTCCGTTCTTAGGCGCTCAGCCTTCCTGATGGTCCAGCTTTCACAACCATACATTACAACCATACCCCACCAATAAAATAAAATAAAATAAAATAAACCATCCTTCACTACTCTGTGAGGATCAACATTTTACTGAATAAAAAGGTTACAGTTCCAAATTTTAAAAAATAGACTGAATACACAAAATAAATAATTCCATACACTAATTTCAACATTACAGGTTAACTGTCATGCATCAAATCGCCCTCTAAAAAAGTAGAGATTCCATTGTGTAAAAAAAAATAATAATCCCAAAAGGCACCAAAGACAAAAATCACAGGTAATGAATACTTGGGAGAAACAAAGTAGGGAAGGGAAGTCGTTGATCTATGAAAAAGTGGTAAGGGAGTTTCTAGAAACAATTATTTTTGACAAATTGGATGTTATGGTGACAGGAAGAAGTATCGGACTAAAATTGCTTAATTCCTACCTTGGAGGATTTCCAAAGGACACTGGAATGCAGGGCTATCCAACTCCCTCAACTTTAAGACTAGTGAGCTTCAACTTCTAGAATACCATGCTGACTGGGGAATTCTGGGAGTTGAAGTCTACAAACTTGCCGAGGTTGCGCATCCTTACTGTCGTAGTGCCAAAAGTGACAACATTCGCAGCACACCAGATATTGGCAGGAAGGCAGCAAGTTATAGTTGGGGGCTGCTGGAGTAAAGAATATTTGAAAAGTACCTTCTCTCCCAACACAGTTATCAGAAAGGAGTAACCTGTCAATCTTATTTAAAAAAAACAAACACACACACACCATTTTCCATGTTGGGTTCCAGACAGCCCTGAGGTTCTTAGAAAGTCTCTCTAGCCTTAATTGAGGACAAACACTGTTAATGGGCCTCAATGAAACGGCTAGTCCCTCACTGCTGAACAATCTCATCACCGTAGAGCTGCTACGAGATATGACTGGACACACTATCTGTACACAGAGTTACAGGACAGTCCTCGACTTAACGGCCACAACCAAAACCTAAAGTTCTGTGGTCAAGTGAGTTGTGCCCGGTTTCACAACCTTTCGTTGCCGCCGTTGTCAAGCGAACCACTGCAATTGTTCAGTGGGTCGTGAAGGGAGCCTGGCTTTTCTCCGTTGACTTGGCTTGTAGGAAGCCAGCTGGGAAGGTCACAAATGGTGGGATCGTATGAGACATGCTGGTGGCCAGGTGCCTGAATTTTGATCCCATAACCATGGGGATTCTGCAACTTAAAGTGTGAGAATGGTCATAAACCATCCTTTTCAGTACTGTTCTAATTGTCCCTAAACAAAGAGTTGTAAGTCAAGAACTAGTTGTAATTCCACTATCTTAGCCAGCAACTGTCCATCTAGGACAGTGATGGCAAACCTTTTTGTTAGGGCCACGCGCCAGAAAAGCCAAACTTCCACACCCAACAACCAGCTGGCTGGCATGCAAGTGCAGGCCAGTTTTGAGCACCGCCACAAATACACAAAGGGAACAAGCTCCGGAAAAGCCAACAGTGTGCGTATGCACACCCAACCATCGGCATGCAGAGTTTTTTGGCACTGCCACATATGCCAAGGACAGCTGATTGTCGTGTGCGCACGCACGCCAGAAACCCGGAAGACAAACAGGCAAGGCTGCGCGTGCCAGGCGACATGGCTTCGTGTGCCACTTTGGGCACGCGTGTCATAGATTCACCATCACGGATCTAGGATTTCAGTTAATCTATAGGACCTCCTCCCTAAGATAAATGGTTTGGAAATAGGTGGCTTGCTGAACCAAACCAAGATAAATTAAAAGCAGAGCAGGGAACAAGGGCGAATTTCCTATTTTTTTATAGCATTGTTTCTGCTTCTGTGACATCAGATGAAGCCCAAAATCGTCCAGTAGTTCAGAAATGGTTGCTAAGATTTGTAATGGTTTTTCCCCTCCTTTGAACACAGGAGTCCCTTGTGTTACATCAGACTTCCTTTGACACACTGTGTTTCAAAAGTTATTTGTAACACAACACGGAGAGAAAGGGAACCAGTCTGGACTTACTAAGGGTGCATCATCAGCAGAGAGGTTCTTTGGACTGTGAACTCCTTGTAACTAATGTAGGCCTAGGTTTCCAAGAATAATGACTGAGTGGTTTAAATAAAGGCCTTTATATGACACTTAAATCCATCTTGAGATAAAGGCAACTGTTTGAAAGTATTGGCAAAATGACTGGTGTGGATTTATGCAACTGATCCTATTCCCCAAATGCGTTTTCTTGACGTTCTCCAGCTGCTGAATTCTGTTTACAAAACCACGGAAGAACACAAAACTACTTTAATTCCATTTTCACCTCCTATTTACTCATCAAAGCTGAAACTTCCACAGACAACAATCCTGGTCATTTATGAGATAAACGTTTAAAGGCCAACCTAGGCATTATGGCAGACACAGAAGGACTGCTTAAGATGACCTCCTGTCATCTCCTCTCCATCAGTCACGGGGAAATCCATGTTGGTGCACCATGGGGCTAGTAAGCAGAGGAAGATTGGGACAGGAGTCTCTTGCTGGCAATAATTTCACATGAAACGCAGCTCTGACTGGCTTGTGAATTACCATAAGGTCACAGTAACATCTCCATATTTGAATTCTCTTCCACTGGAGAATAAAAGTCGTTAAAGAGCCAGAAACATTCAAGCGCTGTTTTGTGACTCTTGTGGAAATGTTGGGAAGCACTGGGATTTGTGCTTCGTATGAAATGATGGGAACTGTTGAAAAATGTGGCTCATAGGAAATATTAAATTATCGGGACAGGATAAAGTGCAAGAGTTCCTGGATTCAAAAAAAGTGTTGGCAGTTTAAAGGCAGACAATAAGAATGCCTGATAAAAGCTAAATATCCTGACACTGTGGAATACATAGATGCTTGGCTCCAGACGGCCTTCTTTTAATCACTGCCCTAGAAAAAGATCTCATGCTTCTTCCTACTCGGCAGTAATACGATGACACTTCTTGATGCCAGCCCTTGGGTAAGCATGGCTATAGTCCAATGAGCCCTTAAGAAAGCACCAGGAAGAGACTGGCATAAAAGGTCCCACTGATGCTCAAATGCAAGACATAAAAAGAATATATTTCTAATGGCAAAATGTGGGCCAGAAGTGACTTCTAATCTAGAGCACCACGGAGGGAGCCACAGGAGATGGTTCGGCCGTTTATGTCAAGACCATCTACCACCCTTCCCGAGCGGTGCTGGAAGCAGAAGCGGCAGAAAGGGAGCATCAGCTGGGTGCCCAGCCCAAAGTGCTGGTATCTGAGCGGGCCGTGCAACTGGACCTGACCCTGCAAGGCAAAGCTGTGGGAACTACACCACTCCGGGAGATGATGACTGGGGTGATGCTGTTGGAACCCCAGATGGATGGAAGCTAAGCGGGACAGGCCTCGATCCTCGGATGCCCCACAAGAACGCCAGGGAATGGGGATTCCTGCCACCATCACGTAGCCAAACGCTAGCTGGTCTCCTGGAGCAGTTTGGCCAACTCAGTGTTGGCAGTGCCGTTCAAGCCCTTGGCACCGAGCAGCCCAGATGGACCTTGGCCCAGCCTACGTTCACCTTCCTGGGCCAAGAAGCCACAGCGCCACTGAGTGGCGTGTCCACCTCCTTTCACTCAGCACGGAGCAGTTCGGCCCACAGTCTTATGCATTGGGCCAGACCAGCTGGGGTGATGGTCACCACGGGATTGGAGATGACCCAGCGACAAAGCCTACTGAACCAGCCCTGCCCGGTGATATAGGGGCCGCAGCAAGGATTCTGGGGCCCAAGTATTCCACCACAGCAGCCGATATAGATGACATCTTCAGAGTCCCATTGTTAGAACGTAACCCCAACTTTCCATTCTTCCTCTCCAAGGCACAGATGGATTTCAAACTAATTGTACTTTTCAACACAGTATTGCTAAGTTCCAGTATATTTACAATAGTTTAGGTATTTCCAAGAGTGAGAAAAGGGGGCATGGGTACTGGGCACAACCTAATCTCGAGGTCAGGAGAATATTCAATGGTCGTTATTGCGTACATATCATAAATCAACAGCAGCTAAGCCCCAAAATGAATTGGAGCAGGAGAGGAGGGGGAAGCATGGATGAACAGTTATGCTGCAACCAGGATAAACATATTTTTTTTCTTGCCTTAGAAATTATGGCATAGACTTAAAAACAAAAACTCCACTTTGTGAATGATTTGCTTATCATTATAGCAGGCCAGCGGACTACAGTTAGCCATCCTTCATAGAAGTTTTTTTTGCTTCTGTGCTTAGATGGTACTGATCTCCATGGACAACCAGGGGGTGAAA